GGAGTGTTACTAGTGGATCATAAATAAAAATAAAAATATATTTTAGTATATTAAAAATACATTAAGAGTATATCAGTGAGTATTAGAAGTACATTATTTTGTATAATATACATTTAATACATAAATAATGTATTTTTAATTCTATAATTATAACTAAGTTCATAACTTGCCATAAGAGAAAATTACACTTTTGGTCCTATGACTATAGTGGAGGTGGTAATTTCAGTTCGTGACTTTTAAAATTAACAGATTTAGTCCTTTTAGTAAGCTTTTTTTTTACACATTGAGTCCTTCCGGCTAATTTGTCGGTAGAAATTCGCTGGAATGTCTATTGGATTTGTTTATTAATTTTTTCAGAGGGATAAAATCGTCCGTTCAGGTCACAGTGTTATTAACCTCAGAAGAACTCGAATTATTAACGAATGTATAATTCCACAGCTTGAAAAGCCCCAACTGCTGCCGCTGGAGCAGATACAGAGCCCGCAACTCGGACTCGCGCATGCAATTAAACGAAGCGTCGGTTTTAATATTGGCGACTCCAGTTTGGAAGACGTCCTTAATGTCGGTGGCGAAGTAGAGAATGAGAAAGAAGAGGGGAAGGACGATAGCTATGAGGTAGCCGAAGATTTCCCCGGTTCTGATTACCACCCGGTTGATCGGAAAAACTGGATGGGAGGCCTTGACCCTGCCAAACTTCGTGTCAATCAGATCGTCTAGCTTGGGACTCACGATTCCGCCACAAACAAGATTGGAATTCATCTAATTTTTCGTCCCTTCGCGCAGTGCCAATCCTTATCAATCTACCAGCAACTGGTCACCGGTGCTCGCGTTCTTGATATCCGGGTTCAGGAGGACCGGAAAGTGTGCCATGGAATTCTCACAACCTACGGCGTTGACGTTGTCATCAACGACGTCAAGAAGTTCCTGTCGGAGACCCAATCAGAGATCATCATCCTGGAGATCCGTACCAGCCGGAAGTTAAGCTTGACTGCTCCGTTGACCAGCCGGAAGTTATCGACGTGAACCTGCCAGGTGGGAGCTCTTTTGAACAACCCATCTCCTTTGAGAATCTTCCCCAGTTCTGCGCTCACTGTGGGATTAATCGCCATGTTACAGAGGACTGCCCCCAAAAGTGTAATTTTCGGCTCATTTTATTGTCATATTAGGAAGCTTTCGAACTCAGAAGAAGATTCAAATACATGCAAGTTTCAGGCTTTCAGCTACGACATTCACCAAACTACAGTAGCTTCAGAACTCTGAATATTCAGGCTTTCGGATTCAATTCTAGTTTTTCATCGTCTTCGTTGCCGGATTTTCCTCTGCGAGTAGCCGTATAATTCTCTGAAGCAGCTTTGTGACGGCGGGATCGGCGGCCATTAGCGCCACCGACGCGCACAGAGTGTCGCAGCGGGATCGGCGGCGTTTATCCTCTTTTTTCTCAAACAGAAGTGACCATTTTACCCCCGAAAAAAATTAATAAACAAATGACTATATTTTTCCGGCCAAAATCTACCGGCAAATTGGCCGGAAGGACTAAATCTGTGAAAAAAACACACTTAAAGGACTAAATTTGTTAGTTTTAAAAGTCACGAACTGAAACTATCACTCCCTCTATAGTCATAGGACCAAAAGTGTAATTTTCTCTTTGCCATAACTAAGTTAATGTTTAGGGTCAAGATTGAATGGTTTAAGTTTCGAACTTACCTAATAATAAGTCAATGTATTATATTTTTATGAACGGTCACAGTTCTAAACTAATAACGAATATATTATATTTTAAAAATTGTTAAATTTTAAAAATAATGAATATAGGGTGTGCTTGGTTCGCACATAGGAATCGAAATCGGAATGAGTATCAAATACTTGGTAATGGTAGTGGGTTTTGATGAAAGTATTTAACATGTTTGATAGTAAGATGGAATGGAAATGGTTACTAATAGTTGTGCTTGAGAATTAATAAGGGAATAAACCCTTATGTTATTTGGGTATGAGTTTTTCAATTGATGGGGTATTTGAAACTATAGTAGTGTTTTAAAAACCTATCAACCAAACAACAACAATCACTTTCATACCCATTCCTATGGGCAAAACCCACCAACCAAATACACTCATAGTATATTATAGAAACTAGGTAATAACTAAGGGTGTGTTTGGTTCACACATAGGAATCGGAATCGGAATCGGTATCAAATACTTGGTAATGGTAATGGGTTTTGGTGAAAGTATTTAACATGTTTGGTAGTAGGGTGGAATGAGAATGGTTACTAATAGTAGTGCTGGAGAATGAATAAGGGAATAAAATCTTTATTTTATTTAGGTATGAATTTTTTAATTGATTGGGTATTCGAAACCCATAGTAGTGTTCCAAAAACTTATCAACCAAACAACAACAATCATTTTCATACCTATTTCTATGAAAAAAATCCACCAACCAAACACACCCTAAGTTAATGTTTAGGGTCAAGATTGAATGGTTAATGCTCGAACTTACATAATAACAAATTTTGAAAGGCGAGTCAAAATCAAATTGTACAATTAAGGTTAAATTGTAAGGTTATGAACTTTATATAAATCATATTTATAAATTGTGAACTGTCGATTTGAATTTGGAAATCAAACCGGATCAATTGTGTCCACCTCTACTTATCCATATCAACAAATTATTGTATGGATCATGGTGGCATGATGCACTATGTCGACCATAATAAAAAGTACACGTTTACTATACTGAAAGTACATTATGACTGTATTAATGTACATTATTTAAAATAATATACTTTCGTTGAACAAAAATATACATTTTTAATATATTATTTGTATATTGAATATATATTATTTGATAGTATGTTCCACACAATAATGATTAATCTATATCCAATAGTTGTGCAAGTTTATTTTCTTGTTTTTTTTTTTTTTTTTGGGGGGGGGAGGGGGGGGGGGGGGGGGGGCTACCCAACTTAACTAATGCCTGCTAGCTGTCGTAGCAAGTGGAACACCTTCCTTGCACAGAAGTTCACGGACCTCATCCGGTGGGTGGTTGAAGTCCATCCAGTCCCAATGTCTTCTCGGTGCTTGTTTGGCCAAGCAGTCAGCAACGATATTCTTCTTACGGGGTATAAACTCAATACTGACTGACCAGTCCTTCGCTATCCATTGTTTGCTCCACTTGACTAGAGTCCCACAGTGCCCCAACAAGTCAGGGTTTCCCTTAATCCGATTGACTGATTGCTTCGAGTCGCTAAACACATGTATGTTTCTCTGTCCATGGTTCCACGCCCATTTAAGCCCCAAATAGATCGCCCATAACACAGCCTCGGTTGCATTTGTGGTCTTTGTCATGCAGTTGAAGCCTCTTATCCATTCCCCGTTGTGATCTCGCAAAGCACCCCGCAACCTGTCATGTTAGTTACATGGGAGAACATGGCGTCATTTGTTCAAATGCTTTGTCATGCAACCTGTCATTTGTTCAATTCTCTCTTCATATCCAATAGTTATGTTGTGCAACCGAATGTACCATGCGCATGGTGCATACGATTCAAAACGACGTCGTTTTGATTAAAAACGCGCGTCCCACTTTAAAAAAAAAAAATTCAGGTTCGACTCTCAGCAATAGCATTATTGTGGATATATAGTTATGAAATTGTAGATATATAGTTATGAAATTGTGGTTATATAGTTATGAATTTATGGATATTTAGTTCATTCATTGTGGATATTTAGTTCAATCATATATTGTGGATATTTAGTTCATTCATTGTGGATTTTTACTTCATTCATTCATTCATTGTGGATTTTTACTTCATTCATTCACTGTGGATATATAGTTATGAAATTGTGGATATGTAGTTATGAAATTGTGGTTATATAGTTATGAATTTCTGGATATATAAAAATGCTATTGCCGAGAATTGAACCTGATTTCTTCTTTAAGTGGGACGCGCGTTTTTTTTTAATCAAAACGGCGCCGTTTTGCAACCGTATGCACCTTGCAAGGTGCATTCGGTTGCACAGCATAATTTGCGCTTCATATCTTGTCAATTAGTATTGGGCCTAATCTATTAAAACCATCATGAAGACATTCTTATAAGCCCAAATTTACAGGCCTATTAACAAGCATTTGGATCCTTTACCAATTTGGGTCGTTATATCGTAGACCACGGTGTACATACACCTCGGTCAAAATGACACCGTTTCTTTAAGTAAAGAAATGGCGCACCGTTAGTTTTAACGGAGCGTGTATTTTTTTGTATGTTAATTACCAACTGACACTACAATATATATATATATAAATCGACACTGCCTCACGTATTATTTTTATATTATTAAATTAATCTGCAGTTACATCAAAATAATACTATAATTGTTGTGAAATGAAACTGCAGTGTATATAAAATGAAACTGAATAACATTTCACATATTTGAATGTATATTGTACCATGAAACTGTAATTATATCAAAATGATTATATAGTTGTGTTTTAATAAAACTATAGTGTATATAAAATGAAATTAAATAGCATTTTCACATATTTGAGTCTATAAATATCAAATGAAACTGTAATTATATCGAAATGAAACTGTAATTGTATTGAATTGAAACTGCAGTTTATAAAAAATGAAACTGAATAACAGAGCTACTTTTTGCAGAAGGGTGCGAAACGGCAAGAAACAAATACTGTTTATTTTCATTAAATAAAATGATGTCGTTTTGATGCGCAGTGCACGATATAATTTGCCTACCAATTTCCAACCAAACAAAGGAAAGGAAAAAAGAAATAACTTAGCCTGTACTCTGGGGCAAGGGTACTTTGATTTACCAGAAAGGCAGCCCTACGTGGCTTCTAAAGCACGTGAAAGGCAAGACGGATGAGGTCTTAGATGTCATTTCTGACCAAACCAGCACAGCTGGGCCTTCACTTTCACAGTTTCAATCTCCCGGGAGCAATTCCCAAAGCAACTGAATTTCCATAACTGTCCTTCGCCAGTTGACAACAGAAATCCCACGTGTGACCCTTACCCCACTAAATCCATACCTTTCCTCTTCCATCCACCGGAGCCCCAAAATCGGTATTTTCTCAGCGTCCCAAATTCCAGACCTAACTTCACCCAAACGTCACCTCACACACTGTACGGACCGGAAAATGGTCTCCGACGCGGACCTCGTCAGCCGCCTCAGGGAGTTCCTCAGCACGTCGGACCTCAACACCACCACCAACGCCACCGTCCGCCGCCAACTCGAGGCGGACTTCGGTATCGATTTGTCCGATAGAAAGGCCTTTCTCCGTGAACAGATTAATCTTTACCTTGAGCAAGCTCAGGCGCAAAATGCGGTGAAGGAAGAGGAGGAGCGGCCTGTGGAGGAGAGTGTCCGCGGTGGAGAACAGGAAGACGAGAAGGAATCGGCCGCGGCCGCGGAGAATGAGGTGGAGGAAGGAGAAGAAGAGTCTGAGGAAACGGAAGAAGAGGAGGCGGAGTTGAAAAAAACTAGTAACGGAAGGAAAGCTGCAAAGAAAAGGTGTTTATATCAATCCACTCCAAACACACAGCTTTCTGCGTTTGATTATTGAATTTGATTTACATAGCGGTAGCCTGCTTGTGTTTGTATATACTTACCAAAGTTGTATGGTGCATTTGCAAGTTTAATTGAAAGAACCTAATCTTCATGCATGAGAATTGAAGTTTTTCTGTCCTATTAATGCTATAGTGATATATGAGAGGATTTTAGGCATTGTGGGAACATGCAATGGTGATTTGGTTGAAACTGGCACAACTAATGAAAATCATTCTCAAGTCATTTGGTATTCTTCAGCTGAACCAATGCAAAGTGTCCTCTCTGAGCATATGAAGAGATTAGATAGTTTTCCCTCTTTTTGATTGAAGATACAATTCTAGTGAAAGAGCTGAACTAATTGAATGTCCGTATGATTTCTCACTTACTAGGTCCAAGAAGCAGAATAAAGAGGTCAGTAGGAGAGGTGGTGGATTTACCAAACTATGTGGTCTTTCTTCCCAACTTCAGAAGTTCACCGGGGTACCGCAAATGGCAAGAACTCAGGTGTCTCAAAATTCATAATCTCCTAATCGGATTCTATACAACTATACAAGTAGTTGATATATAACACCGGGCTTGTATTACCATGTATTCAGGTGGTAAAGCAACTGTGGAACTATATTCGGGAAAATAATTTGCAAGACCCATCTAATAAGCGGAATATAAATTGTGATGATACATTGCGTGAACTTTTTGAGGTGGATGCCATAGACATGTTTCAAATGAACAAGGCCCTATCAAAGCATATTTTTCAGTTGGACTCTGATGGGGGTATTACTTTTTAAATTTTACTTCTGATGGAGGATTTGGTTTGTATCTCGTTTAAATTTGCTTCTTGTCAATCTGTTATCTGCTTTTAATAGTAAATTATTGTGGTGCTATTTTAAAATACTGAGCTTGAGCTATTTCTATAATGAAATTGCCAGGCATTCTCATATATTGCATCTATTGATTCAAAGTATTGAGCTTTGGACTGTATTTAGCTATTCATATCCCTTTAAACTGAGTTGACCCTCGTATCACTTGCTGGCCTTTCTTATGCTACATATTTTAGATGTTTAACCATATCCTTATCCTCTATTAATTTTTCTTTTAGAGGTAGCAAGCAGTATATGCTTTAAACTTAGCTTAGCTTTATTAGGAAATAATTAGAAATTTAGAACTGTGATCACATAAGCAATTTGTATCATCTATCTTGTTCTGTATTGTATCCTCTTCACATAAGCTTATATCATCTTCAGTGTATTATGATGAGTGAGTTCCTTGGTTACACATTTGCTTTAATATGTATGTTAAAAGGGGGAAAAGTATGATCATTGACCAATTTCTGTAAAAATGCAGCTTCTGTGTCAGTTAATTCAACAGAATCAACACCAAAGGAAAAGAAACGGAAGAAAGAGAGTGATGAAGGTGAATATGTGACATGCTTTTTTTTTTTTTTTTTTAATTATAATTATTTCTTTCTTGGTGTTAATGCTCCAAACAGTATGCATCCTTCTGGAATTTGGTGTTAATGCCCCTCACCCTTAGTATTCTTTTCTCCTTAGGGGAGGGATCACTCAACTATGTTTGCAAAACACCATATGCAAATTATATGCATTTCTTTTTTTATCAAAAAATTCAAACTCCAAAAAGTTAGTTAGATTAAAGCTTAGTAAGTATTACTCTGTATGATTCAAGTGTTTCCATGATTATATGATTGAGTTTTCACCACATGGGACACAGTGACACACACATTTGTGAATCTCTTAATCGATGCCATATCTCAATATAGATTCAGATGAGCCAAAGGGTGGGGAAAAGCGGCAGAAGGGAGGGATTCTTGCTCCACTTCGACTCTCTGATGCTTTAGCGGAGTTCCTTGGTACTGGTGAAAGTGAATTGCCTAGGTCCAATGTTATCAAGAGAATATGGGATTACATTAAGCAAAACAACTTGCAGGTATATTTAGCCTCTTTTTTTTTTCTTTTTTTTTGAAAAAAAAATATGAATCCAATTGTCCTTGCAAATCCAATTGTTTGCTTGAAAATTAATATAGCTTGTTTAACATTTGGAACTAAACAATTCTTCAGTTTGGTTGGTCAGGATGTGCACTGGACCCAACCACCCCCAACCCCAAAATTACTGTGTTTGTTCTCCTAAATAAACTATCTATGAATGAGAAAGATACTTTTTCACCACATTATTTAATTGCAACATTTGTTTGAAACACAAGACTTCTTTATATTCAGCAAAGTACATCATACAATTTCTTGGCTTATCATTTTCTTATTGTACTCCTGGAGTTCTCTTTTCACCTTATCCATTTAGATCCTCCTATTTCTGCTGTTTCTCACCTGTTTCTTTGCCTTGAAGGATCCATCTGATAGGAGAAGAATAATATGTGATGAGAAGCTGAAGGAGCTCTTTAATGTCGACACTTTCAATGGATTTTCGGTCTCAAAACTCCTAACTAGTCACTTTATAAAGACGTAGCAGTGAGCTGTTGGACTGTCCTCAATGGATCTTGGAATTTTGCGTGGAGTTCAAACTGCAACACTAACTGTTTTTTGGTAATCTCATGTAATTTATTACTACGAATAGTGTTGGTTGGATGTGGGAAGAGGGGGGGTCTGGTGAGGGGGAGATAAAGAACTCCTTTCAGTTCTACTGTCTTCCTCTGTTTTTCAAGTTTGTTTTCTAATATAGATTCATCCTTTGGAAAACAATGCGGCAATACTTACACGCCTTATTTTTTTACTTTGCTAATGTATTATATTATCATACACCTGTAAATTTTACGAGATATATGGAAGCTGAATATGGCAAACAGGTAGAAAATTAGCCATAAAAACTACTGCATGACTGCATGTAAGTGTGTGTTGTTTATGTGTTTACTCTTCTGACATGATAGCCTACAGGCTAAAGAGTTTGATGCAAAATAGGTGGCAGCCAAAACCCAACTTGTCACAACTGCATCGAATGTGAAGATCACTGTGAATATATTTCATGCATAAAATCTTCTACCCTTTTGTAGTATTTGGTTTGATTCTTTGATTGCAGCCTGCAGTTCTTGACAAAAGGGCGCAGAAAAAGGAGTGAACCAGAGTGAAGCTTGAAGAAAACTGCAATTACTTTGAATGTATAGACAGCGAGCGAAGGAAGAATCAAAGCCCCGAGATCCTCATTATTGTATGAAGGGTGCTAGCAGCACTAGTTTGTACGTTGCGAATTGATGTCGTTTACGGAAAGTATTGTGTCAAAGGATTCCTCTTTGTGCTTTTTGTTGGTGTACACTTTTTCTTGGGCTATTCACGTTGGCTGTCTGGTGTGGTGGAGTGTGAATCAGAATCACCATCATAAGATGATATACCTTTGGCTTTGGGCTTGGGGTGGAGATAGGAATTCGTGGAAATAATCATCAGTTCACTTTGCACCATCCGTGAAAAATATACCATTCTACACCACTTGTCTCCGTCATCTTCTTTGCCTTCATTTACGACTCACTTATGGGTATTCCCATACTTCCACGCTTGTATCCATCGCAAATTCGGGTGTTTGTGAGGCAAACTACATTTTGTCACCATTAAATCAATGTTAGTTGAAAGCTGAGTTTAAGTAGTTCCAAGTCTGTATTATGTGGACTCCCACTTTCAAATTCTTGATGTAGACATTTTTTTGGGACCCACATGATGAAAATAAATGTCAGGTAGCAAAAGTGAGATAGTAAAATTTAAAAATACATGTAGTAGAACTCTTCCAGTAATGGGTAATGTTATTTCAGATTTTCAGGTAGCTTTTTTTCTGCTAGGGGCACCGAATAACCTTCTTCCAAGTAGTCTTCTTTTTAGTTAAGGGGCAGTCTTATTCTAAGTAACCCTTTTCTGCCAAGACTTTTAGTACTAGGCAATTTTTTCTCAAGTATCATTTTTTTTTGTCACGTCCAAATTTCTCAATGAGAGTATCATTGATTAGTATTTAAATTTAATGACTAATTCAATAACTCAGAGTGTTTCTCAAGTTTAATATCACTCCATAATGTATAAACTACAGAAATCTACCAGACAACAATTAATGATTTTTGATTTTTTGGGTTTGTGGATTAAGAGAATAATCTCAATAACCGGTGGGGGCATATATGGTTAACGCAGGGCCAGTGGAGCAGGAGTTGTTTGAGATACTAGCCATTGCTTTGGAAAGGACAAATATGAGATTCCTTTGAAGACAGATTCTTGTTATCGTGCTCTGTGCAATGTCGTAATAAACTAACCACCATTAGGATAAAAGTAAGGGTGTGTTTGATTCGCCCATGGGAATCAAAATCGAAATGAGAATCAAATACTTGATAATGGTAATGAGTTTTGGTGAAAATATTTTGCATGTTTGATAGTAAGATAGAATTGAAATGATTATCGATATTGTTGTTTGGTTAGGTATGACCCTATAATACAAGAACAAAAAATCAAGACAATTTATTCTAATATAAAGATATTCAAAGCATCAATATGAATAAAAAAAATAATCTAAAAGCACTAATCCAAACTTAAAAATCAAATTACCAATTAGGAAAAATAATGGAATGAAACCTTTATTTTATTAGGAAATGTGTTTTTTAATTAAGGAGTAATCAAATTCTATAATAATGTTCTAAAAACCTGTTAACCAAACAATAATAATAACTTTAATTTTCATTTCTAATAGCTAAATCCATGAACCAAATACACCCTCAGTACTCCTTAAACACAACTAAAGTTAATTAATGACAAGAATATAAGAACCACAACTTGACAAAAGACACACCTCTTTTTCTTGGAGATGTAGAATCTTCTTTCTTCTGCAGTGCTATAAAAAATGAACAAATTTTATTGGCCTCTCGGGCTGTCGGGCATGCCCCTTTGTGGGCCTAACTTATCCTTCCTACAAAAATCCTTTATCCTAAAGATGAGTTAAACACTTGAACGGTCGTTATATCATGGATCGCGGTTAAAATCGCACCGTTTTTTAAGTAAAAAATGGTGCATCGTTAATTTTAAACAGACACTGCCTCACGTATTATTTTTATATTATCAAATGAAATTTCAGTTATATTAAAATGATATTGTAGTTGTGGTGAAATGAAACTGCAGTGTATATAAAATAAAACTGAATAAACATTTTACATATTTGAGTGTATATTGTACAATGAAGTTGTAATTATATCAAAATGATCATATAGTTGTATTTTAATAAAACTATATTGTATATAAAATAAAATTAAATAACATTTTCACATATTTGAGTCTATAAATATCGAATAAAACTGTAGTTATATTGAAATGAAATTATAGTGTGTTGAACTGAAACTGCACTATATACAAAATGAAACTGAATAACAGAGTTACATTTTGCAGAAGGTTGCGGAACGACGAGAAATAAATGTCATTTCTTTTCATTAACCAAAACGACGTCGTTTTGATGCACGGTGCATAATGGAGACGATATAATTTGCCACTTGAACGGAAGAGGTCACCTACATGGAATCGCTAGGTTAATCCACCTAATTTTTTCAATCATTTATAGGTGAATTAAGTTAACACTCGAGAGTATTAAAAACAGCAATGAATTAGATTATGATTATCCGCATATATTGTTGATGTTAATTCATATTGGAAAAAAATTAACTATTAAATATGTCAATTCTTTGTTAGGTGTACTAACATTTTTGTTATGTATAATAATTGTCACTTTTTTTTTTTTTGAAAGGAATAATTGTCACTTAATATTGTTATGATATATTATGATAATCAATCCAAAAGGCACATATTGATTTTATGATTAATCGGTCAAGGCTCAGACTAACATGAACCTACAAAATAATGCAAAACTATAAGAAAGAGCTATGAAATAGAGGAAGAACATGTATATTAGTATGTAAAAATATTAATTGTTTATCTTTTTTTTTTTTAGGGATCTAATGTACAAATTAAGTAAATTTAGACTTCTCATAAATACATGCACGGGGCTTAGCTCAATGGTTTAGTGGGTAGTATTTGGAGTAAGAGACCAAGGTTTAAACCTCGATTGTGGCAGTGTGGAAATTATATTCAAAGTGGACAGATTCCTTGTGTGCACCGACATTTGATCCTGCTCGTGATTTACATCTTCCCACATGCTCTGTCGGGCCAGAATGTGAGGGGCCCTCAGGGTAAAAAAAAACACCTATCTTTAATTAATAATAATATATTGCACTTACATTTTACACAAAATTTTTATGAAACTTCTATTCTGTGAAACTTTATCTATAATGTATATAGTAAGGTGCGTTGGGAATCTATATGGAATTACTAAATGTTTTTTTTTTTTTTTTTGCTTAAATATATCTAAATAAAATAATAGAAAATGAAGAATTGAAGAGTAGTATATATATCTGCAGAGATTCTGGAAGAAACAATTATATTGTGAGTCTTAACGGACCCAAAAAAATACTCCAAAATAAGAAGTTAAAAACGAAGAAAAGCTAAGCAGAATCTGACACCGTAATTGATCCTTTAAGGCCACGTGTCTAGGCTATGTTCCACCAAATATGCGACTAGTCCGTAAGATTCGTACGCCATAGGATCATGTTTTTCATGTGAAAATGATCTCGTATTTGCAACCAAGTCCTTCAAAAATATCAAATATGTCCCTCTACTATCATTTATTTCTTGTTTGAACTAGAAAAATATCTTTAATATCATATCTATCACACCCAATAACTTCTTATCGTTTTCCCCAAATTTTGAGGTTCACATATGTTCACTTGATAAACATACATTGACTCAGGACATAATGACATCTCTCAATTTTGTCCTTTTTTTTTTAATTGAGTATAAAAAAAAATAAGAACAAAATTACCGTCGATTGTTAAATTTTATTTATTTGATACGGCATTTAATAATATAGTTAGGCAGGTCACAGATGCACTCATTTGATAAATTTTTGATAAAATAACTAGAATCAGTTAGGGTACAAGTAATTAATAAATATAAATTTTTATGAAATAATATTACGTGCATAAGTTTGTATATGAAAAATATTTTATCTAATTATTGGGATAATAATATTTTCACTTTGCGCAATTATTTTCTTGCCTTATTATTTATTTATCAATTATTTAGTGTTAATTTGTATCAAAACCATCACTAATATTCTAAAAAAAAATTATGTAATATTTAAAAGGTAAAAAAAAGATAAGGAAAGGGTAGGAATCCATAACTGCTTTCACAATTGATTTTCTATAGACAACATTTTCTGAAAATGATTTTTCATTTAAAAAAAGCATTTAAAAGAAAAGAAAAAAGAAAAAAAGAAAAAAAGAACCTTTACAAAGAATAATCTGTTCACATTAATTAATCTCAAGACAAGTTCAAAAAATCTCAACCCCAAAGGGCAATCATGACTACATATAATTCTATGAATCTATAAGTATTAATTGAGTTATCATGACTACATATAATATAATTCTATAAATCCATAAGTATTAATTGAGTTATTGCACTAAAATTAAGATTCATTATTATATATTACAACTATTATCTTCATCATAGTAAGATTAATTTAAATTATGTCCAAGCAGGATTTAAATTCAAATTGTAATACACTCTTCATTTCATATTACATGTGGAGTTCAATTAACAAATCTTAACTTAAGGTATTTATAATTTAATTTTTTTGTAATACTTAATTTAGTATTAATGTATACAATTGATATATTTGAAAATTAAATTAAAAGTACTATTAAGTATTAAATACAAAAATTAAATTTAAAAATTATAAAAGAAATCGTTTAACGAAAATAAAGAATAATTGAACTTGATAATTAAAATGAAATAGAAATAGTATTTATTAAACTATTCTATTGATCTTATATGTAATTTATGAACGAAATTTACTTGTCATATATATATATATATATATATATATATATATATAAAATAGTGATTATATGAGAACCACCATCCTTATGAGTCTAGGTGCATCAAAAAATTAGATCAAAATATATATTATCATTATCCAATCAAAATTACATATTGGCACTATAAAAATTCTTAGTCAATAATTCATACCCATCAAAAGTTCACAAAGAATCTTGAAAAGCAATATTCGTTCTTTAATTATATTTTTTCCTTGTAACAAAAGCACAAAATTTATTATCCACTTGCAATCACTTAATCACTTTTTCCTAATCAATTTTGATCATTTTTTTTCATTAAATTATAATATTGATATTTTTATATATTGAATGGTTAAAAATAAAAATAACATTTTAAGACACTTAATTATATACCCTCACATAAATAATAAATTTGTGAATATTAACTCAAATTTAATTATTATTTTTTGAGTCTTACTGATTTGGACACAAATTTAATTATTATTTTGTTGATTGCTATTGACTTGGTTACAATATAGTATTTGTGGCTCGACCTCATGACCTTTCACATGAGAGAGCCACTTTGTGTCATCAGACCACAAGATCATTGTTAATTAATTAATTAATTATTAAATATGCTCATTTGTAATTAACTACTAATAAAATGAAAGAATTAGAGTATATTGAACTGAGCCTCGAGACGTTTCCGAGTTAACTCATTTATGCGACGAACCGAATGTGAAAGCTATCAGAATCTTTATGACTTTCACCATCAAGAATCCTCTTCCGTTTCTGTAATCCCATTTTTGCCCTTGTCTTCCTTATCACGCTGACCAGTGTTAATATAAATCCTTCGCCATTCGCCGGAGAAAGAGTATCGGAGGACTCTGAAGAAACCAAAACCTCGGAGAACAAGGTTGAGAGAACGAATGGGTGCCAATGGAAGGAAACTTAGTATAGATTTGAACAGTGAATTTGGCGTTCCTAAGACCATTTCAGATTGTCTGGCGGAGGTGTCGGCGACCGGCGATGTTTCCTTAAAATTATCGAAGCTCAGCTACTTTCTCCACGCTTTAGAAGAGGAATCAAGGAAGATCGATGCGTGGAGACGTGAACTCCCTCTCTCCATGCATATTATCAATTTGGGTATATGTTTTTTGAATTGTTTTTGTGTGGTGATTTGTTGGTGTGATGAGATTCTGAGTATAATTGGTTTTGCAGCGATCGAGAAGGTTAAGGAGGAAGTTTTGCAGGTGAAGAGGAAGGAAGAAGGGCCAGTTATGGAGGAATTTCTGCCAGTGAAAGGCGATTCTGATGAAAGTGATAAGAAGAACTGGATGAACTCTGCTACGCTCTGGAACAACCCTGTCGAGTTTAAGCACCGAAATTCAGTAAAAACTCTGTTAATTTGTAGAGATTTCTGTTCTGATTTTTTTTTTTTTTTTTTTTAATTTGAATTTTAACTGTATTTTGGGTGAATTTTCTGGTTTATTTGTGGAGGTTGAGGACGAAGATATCCAGTTCCGACCAGGGGAATTCAAGAATGAAGGAGGGGCGTTTCAGCCGTACAAGAAAATAGCGGCGGCGGCGGCGGAGAAGGCTGCTTTACCAATTAATGGGTTACCGGCATCTACGCCCCTCTCCATTGATTTGCGTCTCAAAAGCGGCGGCGGCGGCGGAGGAAGCAGAAATAGCCAACCTCAGAGCAAGAAACAACGGCGGTGCTGGTCGCCGGAGCTTCACCAGAGATTCATAGACGCTCTCGATAAACTCGGCGGCGCACAAGGTTTGATTCTTTCTTTCACGATCTGCTGCCCAGTTTCTGTTTTACGGAATTATCTGATAAAAATAGTGTCATATATTGATTGGCAGCCGCCACGCCGAAGCAGATCATAGATATAATGCGAGTCGACGGCCTTACCAACGACGAAGTAAAAAGCCATCTTCAGGTAACCAATCTTCTTCCACTCCAAAAACACATTTTCTATAAAGAACTGCCATTTCTGACTGGAAACCTTGTAATTGCAGAAATACAGACTCCATGTTCGAAGGCTTCCACCACCATCGAGCTCAGTAGAACAGAGAATAGATGCTTTGAAGGTGGCCAAAATCGCCGCCCAGTCTGGGTCGCCGGAAGGGCCTCTTCACTTAAGCGCTTCTGGAAAGGAAATCTCCATGACACTTACTAACATCCCCGAAGAAGAAGAAGAGGACGACATATCTGAGAGTAGTTGGAAGAAGCAAGGACATATTGTCTAGGAATATATATATATATAATTATATATGATGTTTGCAGAGAGGAAGAAAATAGAGAAACCGGACATGAATTAAGGTTTCAGAGCATAGAGTGGAAAGTGGTAGTGATAGGTGCTAACTGTTTTTTTGCGGTTATAGGTAGTGAAGGGAAATCAAACTTTCTGATTAGAGTATTGTTATGTTATAGTTTTTACATTATATATTGACCCCTCTGCTTTCGGAAAGGAATTTAAAATCTCTTTAATTTTTATGAATCCTTTAATATACGGAGTATATATATGTCAAAGTTTATTAGATGAATAGGAAAATTCGCAATCACTAACTTTGAGTTTGTACTAAATAAATTTAATTTTGTGATCTAACGTGCAAAGAAATCACTATTCGTGAGTATGTACGAAAAAAAAAAAAAAAAAAAAGAAGAAAGAAAGAAATGCAGAGCAATCCTCATACGAATCATAAGAAATTGAGCAAATCCAAAGTCAATATCAATTGTTTACAGATGGCAAGCAAATCAAGCAATATTATTACCTGAACCAAACATGAACGTCACAGAAATTGAGCCGAGAGAGAGAGAATGAACTTCCGCGAGAGAGGCTGTCGGCGTTTGGTGTGTTAAATAAGTATTTAAAATGAAACTATCTCACATATTATTTTTATATTATCAAATGAAAATATAATTGAATTGAAATTAAACTGTAGTTATATCAAAATTATATTGTAGTTGTATTGTAATGAAACAATAGTATATATAAAATGAAAATGGATAACAGTTTCACATATTTGAATATATAATGTCAAATGAAACTGTAATTATATTGAAATGAAATTGCAGTGTATATAAAATGAAACTGAATATATTATACAAACATAACTACTTTATGTGAAACGATGCAAAACACATACCATTTCTTTTCATCAAAAGAAACGACACCATTTCAGAGAATGGTCCATAATGTTTTGAGAACCATGGTCCACTTATAATTTGCCGTATGTGAGAGCAAAAGAAAAAGAAACAAGATTTGGGACTTGGGTTTTAAAATTGTAATATATATAAATGGGCTTAAGGTGGGCTTATCTAATAAAAATATCAAATGAGCTAAAATATATTTATTAGACTTGGGCTATTAGCCATGGATAGTTTCATCTTCTATTTTATTTTAAGGCAAATTATTATGTGGACTAGGGTCCACCTTACAAGGTAGATCTGAATTTAGAATACATAATTTACATACTAAATGCTCATAATTTACATACTGACTCAATTCAACATAAAATAGTTGTTATATCGTGGACTACGGTGCACGTGCACCGTGGTCAAAACGGCGCTGTTTCTTTTAGTAAAGAAAAGGCGCGGCGTTTTTGTTAACGGAGCGCGCATTTTTTGGTGTGTTAATTACCAACTGAAACTACAGTGTATCTAAATTGACACTATCTCACGTATTATTTTATATATTATCAAATGAAACTGCAGATATATCAAAATGATACTGTATTTGTGGTGAAATGAAACTGCAGTGTATATAAAATGAAACTGAATAACATTTCACATATTTGAGTATATATTGTGCAATAAAGCTGTAGTTATATCGATATGATCATGTAGTTGTGCTTTAAAGAAACTATAGTGTATATAAAATAAAATTAAATAACATTTTCACATATTTGAGTGTATAAATATTGAAAGAAAGTGTAGTTATATCAAAATGAAATTGTAGTTGTGTTGAACTGAAACTGCAGTGTATACCAAATGAAACTGAATAACAGAGTTACTTTTTTGCGGAACGACGCAAAACGGGTGTCATTTCTTTTTATTAAATAAAGCGACGTCGTTTTGAAGTTCGGTGCCTAATCGATTATGCACCGCGGTGCACGATATAATTTGCCAACATGTTTTTCCAAATATTAATAAATCTAATTAGCCAACACTTACTTTATCTCTCTATAATTAATTTTAATTAAATTAAATCATAATTGTATCTCTCTTCAACACTACCCTTATTCTTGATGAATTACATATGATTATTAGTATTGTTTTGTTTTTTTGGTGTAAACCACATTCTGGACCCCTATTCTAGATGAATTACATATGATTATTAGTATTGTTTTGTTTTTGGTGTAAACCACATTGAGGTCCGGATCTTTCTATGTCCGTTTAACAGTCCAGGTCCACCCGATTCACTTCGAGAGGCATAGAAGCTGGCACAAGGGAATCAAACCCAGGTTATCGCAGAATTCTCCTCCACAAAAAGAGCTCATTTTCCACTTGAGCTACCCTATTGGGTTGATTATTAGTATTGTTGATTCTTGACATTTGGAGTTGACGATTGGTGAATGCAATTGATTGCACCAAAAATATCACTTGTGCGTATTGGCATTGATCCTGTTTTATGAGTCATTAAATCACCGTGATTTACATCCCCCAAATGTTCTGTTGGATTCGGGTGTGGAGGTCCTTAACTTGGAGAATTCAACCTTATGGGAGAAGAAGGAAAAATCAAACAACAAGAGGATTATAAATTGCTTTTAGTGTACGAAATTTTGAACCAGTATTTATACCATTTAAATCCTAATTAAGATGTTCAGACTAAATTAGGAAAGTGATCCCACAAATCACATGTCATTAATTGTATTTAATCTTTTACAGTATTAGGTAAGGCGATAGGATACCAATCGTTATATCCTACCCCACGGCGCACATAGCACTGTGCGCCGCGCGCCTCCCAAAACGACATCGTTTTGGGTAGTGTTGGGAGGCGCGGTAGGAAGTTGCTGAGATTATGTGTATTTGTTCACAACGTTATGTGTATTTGTTCACAACGTTATGTGTATTGATTCATACAGTTATGTGTATTTTTTATACAATTATGTACATTCTTTTTATACAATTATGTACATCCGAATCAGAAAATTTGTGTGTATTATGTTAAGAGTTGATGTGTATTATGTTAAAAGTTTATGTTTATTATGTATTATGTTAGATTATGTGTATTATCTTTTAAAAAGAGTATGTATATTTTGTTATATAATTATGTACATTCATGTATAACATTATGTGTATTCTAGTATAACATTATGTACATTCTTAAACAGCGAGTTTTTTTTTTAAGAAAAAACTACTGCCATTCACTGGGACGGGAAATTTCAAAAAAAAAAAATTAATTAAAACAATGTCGTTTTGCATCTGGACGCATAGTGCAGCGCGCGCCGTGGTGTTGGATATAAATTGTCCTAGGCTACCACAAGTCACAGATCAAAGTGGGTACGGACCGACCACTTACCCATCAAGTATAGTAATCAAAATTCTTTATATATTAAACATTACTTCATCATATGCAAATAAATTGACCTTCACAAAATGTTCACATATTCTTACGAAAAGTTTATTTGACAAATTCGCAATATATGTCGTTATAGCAAATCACACTATGACTTATTAGATAAGCACAGTACATCTCACAAATTTATCCTTCCGTATCACAGAGATAAGAAAAAATCATTTGAGATATTTATGGGGAGATAGAAATCGACAGGGAAAGAAGAGCGTAAATGGGGGTGGGAAGAAGATAATAATGGAGAGAAGAATAATTCTTAGAATGGATAATAATTAATTGTTTAGAGAAAACAAAAACTAAACAAATAAAATATTCCCTCCGTCCCGAATTGGATGTCTCATTTACTTTTTGCACGCTTTTTAATGAATTAAAGTAAATGTTATGCACTTTCCAATTTTGCCCCTCACTTTTTCACTTTTGAAAATAAAAACAATAAAGAAAGCAAAAGCTAGAAGGGTAATTTGAAAAAAGTAGAATAATGGTGATGTTCCATTTTAGAAAGTGGACAACATTTTGGGACAAACTAAAAAGGAAAGTAAGATATATAAAATGGGACAGAGAGAGTAAATGGTAAGTTGTATAAAAGAATTTAGAAATTATGATAATTTTATAAAACTTGACAAAAGCCAGCAATTTTAAAATTTTTGATAATTTTATATCTAAAACAAACAAACAAATAAATAAATGATAAGATTGACTATCGAGATTTGAGCTATTTATTACAGTTTTTGTTTGAATTGGGAAAGCAATGGTGGAGTTGAAAAGCGATTTGGAGGTGGCAATTATGAAGATCACACAAGGGTGTTGTGCAATGAAACATGTATACAGAGAAGCCAACTTTTGCGGTTTTTGCTCTATTTGGTAACATAGTTAACTTATCAGTCTTTTTGTAACAACTTAATGCTCCAAAACGTTAAAATTCAAAAAACTGCTCAAAGTAGTTTTTCCAATCAAGTCATTTTGTTTGTAATCAACTATCAACTAACAACCAATTTACCAAACATCCTTATACAATCAGCTAATACTATCAACTAATCAAACATACTAACACAATCAGGTAACAACACCTTTTATCTTTTCACTGTTTTTAAAAAAAAAGTTACTGGTAAAAATAAAATAAAATAAAATTGATATAAGGTCTCGATCAAGTGATAGACAAGAGAGAGGGAAAATGCTGTTTGTGTTTATTGTTGTAGTTGACTGAGCAGTGAGTAAGCATAGGTTTTGCCGAGACGTTAAAATACTATGCTGCATGCACACACAGAAACCGGATACTATATCAGCCACACTGTATATACATTCTTCCATTTTGTCTCTATCTCAAAGATCAATCAATATCAAACCCAAAGGAGAAAGGACTGACTGCCATGGAACACTGTGGTCCTCCACCACCCACTCATTGTGGCAAAAACAGTGCACCCAATCTTAGCTTATCCGCTTGCAATATATACTTCTTCAAGGTGTAGATCAGATAAGATCAGAGTAAATCTCTAATGCATGCATTGCATATAACTAGGACCCAGAACCCAAACCCGTTTCCTTCTTCCACCATGAAAGAGGGTCACGTGAGTATGACAAGGTTCTTAGATTTCAGTAAAAAGGGATTTTTAATAGTCAACAGCACATGGTGAACAAAAGCCAACCTTTTTCTCTCTCTCTTAAAGGATACCATAATTAAAAATGATTTTCTCTTTTGATGTATCACTCAAAGCAACAATAAGAAGAGGAAAATTAAAGATAGGAAAATATATTGGGAAGCTAAAATGAAGGTTGGAATAAAAGTATATACTATGATAACGGCATATAGAAGCAAGCTTTTAGAATGTAAACAAAATATGTATCACTAACTTCGAGATCAATGCACCTCCTACATTCAAAATGTAGCTCCCCAAGAAACAATTTTTTCTCCATATAGCAGAATCATGCGGTTCAATCAATTTCACTCTCATTTACTTTACGCTTGTGTATGGCATAATTGGCCCTGCATTTAACAAAGAGAAAAAATATATATAAGAACACTCACGTTCTCTGTTACAATGTAGTATGTATATGTTCATAGCTATTTTCTCAACCTATTAAAACACAAAGAGTCAAATAAAGCCATCACTGACCTATTTGGGTGAGTCACTTCAATAATGTTTTATTTTTTATTTAATCACTAATATATTAAAGACCAACATTAATCACTAATCAGTAATCACTAAAACTAAAGTATAACTACAATTGAATTTAGTTAGCAGGGAAGCTTTGGGTATTTTTCTAAATTAGGTTTTCTATACTCCTACAAAGTACAGAAAGGATAAAAATTCAAGCTTGTTTCATGCAGACACCCATTAACTCCAAAAAGAATTACCAGCTAATTAGCTAATAGCATTTAATTATGACTATATATTCTCTGGTGTTTCTTCAAGTTTTACCCCTTGGTAACATTTTTAAGGCATTTATTATTTCCTGAAACTGTGTTGAAGGCCTAGGGAAAATAGGTACGTTATGATTACTGAATGTGACATATCTGGGCAGTGAAAAGACAATAATTCTCTTTAACCACCCTGCTGTACTGTGGAACATAGAGTAAATTCTTGCTTTTTCCACTGCCATGAAAAAGAATCAGTTTTCACCGTTTCATCCTAAAGACATAGGCTAAGTTATCAGAAATAAATGCGAGCTACCAGCACACAAAGAAAATATTAAACTGAATGAACTCGACCCTAGCTAGAGAGAGATTTACCTAGACTGGGATTCGGGAAAGAATAAAGCACGGAGGGGATGATAGCTTTGACAAGACATTAGCATAACGGGCCAACGCTCCGACCACCCTCATCGCTTGTGGCTCTCTGTTGTTGTTGCTGTGGGGTCTCTGGTTGAGGCGGGGGTTGCTGATGTTGAATCTGCTGCTGCGGGAGTTGCTGTTGTTGTTGGAGTAAGAGTTGGGGCTGAAGCTGAATGTGGTGGTCGTGGTGGTCGGGGTGGTGGAGATGGTGGTGAGGATGACAATGCTGCTGCTCCTGTTGGGACGGCTGCTGCTGGATTGGATAAGGATTGTCGTAAGCTCCCAAACCCAACGACGGTGATATACCGGCCGCCGGCGTAGCATTGATTTGATGAAACCCTGTAGCGGTAACCGGCCCGCCGGATTCAAACCCATTAAACCTCATCAGATCGAATTGCTGGGGATTTTGGTGTTGCTGCTCGTAACTCCCGATCAAATCCGCCTCCCCAATCATTAACTGATGAGACTCAATCAGTTGCTGCTGGGGGTGAGACTGATGAATTTGCTGGTCCCGGATTATCAACTGATTACTATTAGGTAGCCCCATCGGAACTCCCATCATCATTGGCTGCATATTATACTGCATTACACCGGAAGAAGACGGATGGTTGGGGTGCTGCATAAACCCCGTCTGCGGAATCAAAGGCGCGAGAGCATTTGGACCAATGTATGTCGCCAATTCCCTCTTCGCAGTGTTCAAATCGCGCTGAACCTGTTTAAGCCTCTGTTGAAGAATGGAAATAAGCCCTACGCAACCATACACAGGATCTCGAAGCCGGTACTCCGCTTCGTAAGCGAGTGAATTTACGGCATCTTCTCGCTGAGAAGCATTCAGTTCGTTGAGCAGTTTGGAGACATTACTAGCGCCGAACACCTTGTGGATATTAGCAAATTTCTGCGGCTGATCCGGTGGGAAATAAGGCGCAAACACACACTCCTGAGTACACTTCCGCCGCTGCAACTTGCAAGCCGCGCACGGAGAGCTTGACGATGACATTTCTTTCTTCCTGTAAACTTCACGGAATCAATCGGAACGTACAAACCCTAAAAATTGAGAAAAAGTTTAGACGCCAAATCAAAGAGAGAGAATTTGCTTTAGCAGATATGTAAAAACTCATTAACATATTTAAGCATATTAAAGTAAACTATATATGCTATTCAGCGAAGCATCAAATTTCGATTTCAGAGAAACAGCTTGCAATTAAATGGCTTAGCATATCGAAGCAAACATGGTAAGTCAATAACATTATTTCATAATAGACAAGTAAAATTTTATATCTAGAAAAGTCAGATGAAGAATAAAATCAAAATAATACTCTATGCAAACTAAGCCACAGTACTTCATCAATTATATTTCTCAAAAAAAAAAAAAAAAAAGAGTTTAAATAGTAAGAAAAACCTTTTGAAGGGAGAGACAATTTACTCTTATTACAGAAAAATGCACACAGTAAAGAGGAGAGATTGAATAGAAACAAAACTCAATGTTTTGATATATTGACAACTAAAAAATGCTTTGAATTTCATTTTTGTTTTTACTGTATTCCTATCATGCTTCCCCATATTTATGGACTTGATGATCAAACTCTACTGTTTTCCGATAAATTTTTCTAGATCCGTATCTTCTCCACACAAATAAACAAAAAATAAATCAACATTTTCTTTTTTTCTGAACCGCTGTTCTTGTTTAAAATACAGAAAATAGAAAAAAAAAACAAAACACAAAAAGAAGAAGAAAAAAAAAAAAAAGACAACCTCACCTGTTAATATTTGAGAACTAGTGTAAATCACGTTATCAACCTTTGTCTCTCTCCATACAACTCATCATCTGCTGCAGCGCTAAAAGCAAGATGAAAAACTAAGGCGCAGAAATCTACGACGACGTCGCACAAGAAGAGATACACGAAACGATAGTGTTAGAAGAAGAAATCTACGACGTCGCCGTCGGCGGCGGCGGCGGCGAGTGGTGGATGTACGACGGACGTACGCGTTTGACCTTTGCGCATAGGATAGAGTGGAGGTCTAGGGTTGGGAGTGCAGGAGCGCTCGATCCGATCTTCAGGTGTAGCGATCCCAACAGAAGAAGCAGAAAGAGAAGGGAAAAAAGAAATACGCTTATTTTATAGTCTTCTTTTTCAGCGATTACAGAGAGAGAAAGAGAGAGAGAGAGATTGAGAGCGTGCAGCGAAAATTTGAAAATGTGGAAAAAATCGGGAAATGGGTAACAGAAAATGATAAAAAGGTGGGGATGATTACCATGGTAGTGCCGAAGTGAGTCTACGTCATTATATAAATAGGAGACGATGGCCGAGTTTTGAGCGTGCTGACTCAGTGACACGCTTGACTATTCTTAGCCGTTGATGAGGATAGAGAAAATGTTTTTGACCAAATCTGCACGGCCCAGGCTGGGAGAGTGAGCAACACCTGATAATCTCACTCCGGAGAGACTGCTCTGAGTTACCACTTTGTCCCTGTACTCATCTCTAATATTCCTAAATTACCCTCTCCTAACAAACAACTGGCGTCATTGTAGTATTACCAATATACCCTCTGTATAACTGTTTTACGGATTTTTTTTTAATCTTTGTATTTAATTTAATTTCTTGTCACAGAAAATTACAGAAGAAAAATGCTTTAGGAGATCTTGTGTAAATGGATCTCCACTATAACTCAATTTTATGGTAGTTAGGGCTCCATATTATCACCAAATATCAAAAGTCATTGATATATTTTTTTTTTAATACAAATAGTGTCAGTAGTATTCAAAAGTCATTGATGTTTTTTTTTTTTTGTTTTTTTTTTCTGAATACTAGGACGTATTCAAAAGTCATTGATGTTTGTTATAAATTTTGTATACTAATTAAATCAAAATCTCATTAATTGATTTACAATAATTTACAAGTATAAATAATTATAACAATTATCATAATTTGCTAAACATATGAATAAGGAAAAATGATTGTGTGCAGCATGCTCTCACAAGTATTATATTCGTAGGCAATATGACAATAAATATAACCAAAAAAAAAGTATAATTCAATATGTCACAATGCATGGTAGCAACTAGCAAGAGTGGTGAATCACGTAAGTTAAATAGTTGAGTTAAATAAGTCAACTAATTAAACTTACCAAACATAATTTTTACACTATCTATCAATCAAACAACTTGAGAGCTAAAGGATATTAATTACTAATGTCCTATTTTTATGCATAAACGTAAAGTCCAAATTTACTTATGATAAATATATTATATTTATATTTGGGTATAATAATAATAATAATAATAATAATAATAATAATAATAATAATAATAATAATAATTATTATTATTATTATTATTATTTATTTATTTATTTATTTATTTATTTATTTATTTATTTCTACTTTATATTGACTTTCCATTTCATTCCTTTTCTTTTCTTAATTATAATGTAATCTTCTTTCCATATTTTGATGCTAAAAAATCTTATTAAATAATTGAGAAATTAATTACTCTAATTTGGTTATCTTGGTGTTAATACAAAATTAATTACACTGTTAAAATGTATAATAAATACATAATATTGAATAAAAATACTTTTTTTTTCTTTTCTACAAGTTGCTTAAAAAATATATAGCATTTAATGCTATATGGATACAAAAAATTTAATCTTTTAATATCATTTTACAAAATTAATTTCTAATAGAATCTTCTTATATATCTTGATAAAAAGAAATAAATGTTTTGAAATCTTAATCAATTTGGGACAAACTAGTGACTGAGATATTTTAATGTTGAATCATCCCCGTAAAGTATTAATTTTTTTAATCTAATAAAAGAGTTTTTTTTTTTTTTATGAAATTATAAAAGAGTTTAATTGCCAAGGACCTTGTGGTCCAATGGAACCAAGTCCCTCCTTCATAGGGAAGATTGTGGATTTGAGTATCAGTGGAAGCGATATGTCGATATTGACTCGCTTCATTTAATGGAAAAAGTAGTTATGAACACATCGTATTAGAGTCTATAATAATTTTCAAAAAGTAAAAAAGTTTAATTTAATTGCATTTCAATAAAAATATGGGAGAATGTTTTGTTTATCAAAAACTTCGTATATTATATACTTATCTTATTGATTCTCTTGTTATATGAAGATATAATCAACAATATAAAAGTTACTACTAATCTAAAAATATCGCTACCTTCCATAACAACATACTATGTTATAAATATTCATATATTAACATTTTAATGGTAGCATTAAAATCAAAAATTAAAAAGCGAAACATAAAAAATGTGGCGTGGTACATTTATATGGTGTATTTGTACATTTTACGCTAATGCATTTACAAATTAAAAATTAAAAATATTTATTAAAATATGAAACTGTTATGATGAGTGGTCATTTATCTTCTCTGATTCGTTATTGAACTAAAGAAAGAACTGGTAATTCAGTATCTGTTTATAACTACTTTCCCAACTTATTAAATTATAGAGAGTTAATAGCGCTTCTATTGAGACTCAAACTCACAATTTTAAAAACTTAACTTGGTACCATTAAACTATAAGATAATTGGTAAATGGTAGCGTGAGTTTGCAAGCAAATGTGGCGTTATAGAGTGGTGGGTCCAAGTTATGACGCTTGGGGCCAGTGGGAAGGGACAAAAAGGAGGGAAGGGGTGACTGGTGCATATCAATAGAGATTGGGATAGTTCTACCGTGCATTCTTTCACATGTTGAACTGTGCAAAGACTCCATAATATTTAACATCAAGTCAACTTATTAATTAGAATGTGTTTTCTGTTATTAATATATTTTCCTTTCTGACCAACATTTGGCAGTAACTAAGATGGGATATCGTAAGTAATATTATATTTACTCCCTCATTTAACAAATTTTACTATGTCTCATTTATAAAAACACATTCAGAAAAATACTACACTATATTTTATGCATACAAATAATGAATTTTATACATATAAATAATAAATCTCGATTTATTGAATACATAAAGGGGCGGTCGTGTACTAAATAAGTCCAACTATATTATACAAAATAATGAAAAAGTGGATTACTGTTGGTAATCATTCACTTTTATTTACCCAATAAAATTTATACTAGTGGCGAGAGTTATACTCAATAGGAGTACATCTATCATTTTCCTTGGCATGAATGTGTATATAATAAAGAAAGAAAAATGTTGCTGGCATGCTGCCAACTACCATGTAGTGTGATGACATTCCGGTTACCCATCCAAATGGATGGTCATAGGTTCAAACTCCGGTGGTGGGGGCTTAGATTCACTCTGCATAGAACAGATACTATGGTCAATATAATTGAAGTCCTGATCGGCAATAACAGTGGTTCTGACCTTGAGGACCCGACACTGGTCCTCCCACCTAATTAGTCGTAATTTTAACCTTCCACTATTCTATCGAGTTAGGGTGTAACAGGAACCAAACATGGAACAGGCAATTAGAAGAACAGAAAGAGCAGGTAGAGTTTGAATGGATTGACCAAAAAGCAACCCAACCCCCCATCTCCTGCGGCACACACACTACATAAAGAGAGAAACAAGTAGTAGATTACACACACAAGTCACCAGTGGGCTCACAGAATTGTCCCTGCTACAGTCACAGCCTCACAGTCACAGGCATGCAGTGTGTAGGTGAGCAATTGCGTGCAGGCCTCTCTCATTCCATTTAATGTATACCCTTCCAATGCTCCCGTCACTGTCACCGCAGGGTACAATTCCCATCCTTCTTTCTTTCTTTCGTTTTCTCTCCTTTTTGTCTCCACCCTCGCCTCTCTTCCCTTCATATTTTTTTTTCCTTTTCGTACGTTAGTTCCCCCCCAACATCCCTGCATGTATTCCTTAACTAGAATTCGGAGCCTCCCACTTTTCTGTCCTTCAATTTTCCCCTCCCTTTTATTGGCATCATAATATACTTCAATTCACCGCTCCTACCACATTTCTGAATCATTAATTTTTCTTACTTGCATGGCAAATTCTATTCTATACTATTCCTTTCACACTATCATAACACATCCAGATTCAAAAACTTCAATATATATATTTTCTGAAAAAAAAAAAAATTATCTTATGGTCCTATTTGATAAAAAAATCAGTAATAAATAGGTTCAGTGTGAAATGAGGGCCAAGTGGGTATTCTCTGTTTCATTTTGGGCAATATACTTTTCGGCTATTTGACCTTTCATAAGACCCGGGAGGTGAGGGATTGGCTGGGGAATACGAAAGACCATCACGTGCATGGATTTGACATTGTAATGCCCAAATTATTTTTCTCTTAATTAATCAATTCTACACTGCAACGGTCAACTGAGTGCAAAAATCACAGTTCTTACTGTAAAATATATGATTTTTATCTGAAATAAGTATGAAATGTGTAAATATTAGAATTGAAGCATGTGCTCCATCTCAACTAAAAGCCCCATAACCTTTGGTTGGGCTCTGATACCAAATTGAAACATGTGCTCCATATCAACTAAAAGCCTAAGCTGATAGTTGGATTGCACATTAATTATATGCTCAACAATTAGACCCTCTAAAAATTGAGATCTTGTGCAATTGTTTATCTTGCATGCCCTAAAATCCGGTGCACTGCACAACACTATGTATTCTGATGCTGATACCACCTGTAGTAGGCTGTAGTGTTCAACATGCATCGTCCTCCATGTTTGGACTCTTTCTTAGCTTGCTTCTTTTCACCCATCATTAATGCCTCTCCTCATCACCTCCCACGCACAGAAGAAAATGCAGAAATTTGAACATATTAATGGAGGGAAAGGCTAGTAGGGTCTCGATTTTATTCCAACTTTTTAACATGATGCATTATTTACAATAGTGAAATTTTTAAACAGTTGTATTTGTGATCCACTTAATAACTGAACCAATAGTTGTTCGGTTGAAATAGATTGTGGCACAATTTTGCACACTTAATTGAGAAGTTGGATGAAAGTTTGACAGTTGAAAAGCTGGTAGTTAAAAAAGATAATGGATTGAAATTAAAGTGTTTGGTAAAATTTACTGCTGAATAAGTTGATAAGTGTAAGAAGACATAAAAAATAAACTGAGATATTAGAATTTTGATTAATGCATGAAATGTGCGTTTTAAAATAAGTTATTATTTTAAATTTCTTAGATTTTACACAATAGAGCTAACTAGGCTCATAGTTTATTTGTTGTTTAAAATAAATTATACCATTTTT